TGTAGATTAGAATTCAGTCTTAATTGAACAACTACCGTATTAAGGGCGGTAGTACGAAGCTAATCTGGTAACATCCCCCGGTCGGAAGAACACCCCTACGCGACAGATTAATTGCTCTCCCAAACCCCAACCGACCGTAACATTATCCACATTATTCACTGTTCAAGAATGGGAGAGTTATCCCCACAAGATCTCTTTCACAGGAAATTTTGCAAAGTTTTCATGAAGCATATCTTAACCATTTTCTTGGTGATGATGTTTTCATGAATGGTGGTAAACTAAATTTAAGCAGAATAGCAGCATGTGCATGATTTGTAAGTTAACTCTTTTTTTTTATCATTATGTTTACTCATAAGAGTTACATTGTAATTATTTTTAACACATTAAGATACAACTGTATTCCAGACATTGCACCAACAAAGATTTCTGAAGATGAGCACTGCTACATGTTTCTTCACCCAATCACCCGTCAAATATTTACTGGTTTAAAAAAATATATAAATATGAGTTATCACTAAATCATGAGGCCAGATCTTAGTTGTGTAGTAGAAGGTATTAGTATATCAATACTAAACTCGGAATTCAAATCTCTTGGTAGGATGCTGTTACAACGTAGGAAAGATGAGCTGAAAGTACAAATAAAAGCCGAAAATCGATCAATCAGCAACTATGAAGCAAAGGAGGCCCAGGCGAGCAGGCATATTATTAGTTGTGGGTACATAACGTAATATTATAAGAAACTTGTTATTTATGTGTATATTAAACTATTATTATCTTCTGTGATGTCAGGCGATTGATGCAATCATATTTCATGGACTTGAAATATGATGGATATACTGTTCCTGGACATTCCAAACGACGAAAATGGTTATCGATAAAGCAACAATTTTATTAGCTGATTTTGCTTACTTGGCCATCTTGTGGTTTTAGAAGTATGCGATTTTCTTTAGTCAACAGTAAAGAGTTTTGTTCACAACTCACGTCTATTTTTACAATGGCAGGAACGTGTCGGAGATATCGCGAAGGACTTCAAATATAGAAAGTATCGTACTGGCACTGTTACACCTCTTGAACAAATGTCATATATGCGCGATATACCGGATTCTCCACAGATAAAGGAACTCATCCGTTCGGATACAGCCATATTCGTAATATCAAGAGCATATAAGTCTCTTAATGATATTAGTATTCCTTAACTTTTGACCTATGTTTCCGTGGCTTTAGACAATTGAAATCTTGTCAGTAAAATTTCGCTGTTTACTCTCCAAAAATGTGCTTTCTTTGTTCGCCTTTATATTTTTCAACACATTTATTCCATGCGTGTTTTCCTCAGGTCACTAATAGCCTTGAGTGGGAGTTTGAGTTGCCATTTGTCGTGATAATTCTTTGACTCTTTTCTTAAGTCTGGAGATTTTTTCCCATATTGTTATGGTGCTGAATTAGATAACAAAATCCCGCAGTATGAAATTATTTTTGCCGTTACATTTTTAGCGGCAGTCGTCACAAATTTATTGAATAGCATAGCGTTACAGCGTTACCACTTTTAGCCCCACCGAAGATACACATAAGCGACATTTATCCCATCGTAAATTCTTCATGTTGTTGACAACTGAAGTTGTAGAAGAAATCAAATAAATTATTGTTAAATATTCACGGAAATATCAAAATAATTGTTATCGATTTTACTTTCGTTCATCGTTGAAATAATAATCAAAGTAGGATACTTCCTAGAAGTGACCACCCGGTCGCAGGTGATATTATTTTAACTGTACATGGTAGCTGTCAAGTTATTCGAAATAATTATTGAAAACGATATTATATTATTTGTTTAATTAGTTTGATTAGAGACAAGTGACGTTTTCCGACTAGTCGAAAAACCAATCGAGGCCTGTTTAATTTAAATTTAATATTAGTATTTTTCCCCTCGATTCCACGGATTAATAATTGTTGTTGTTATTATTTCGCGGGTACCTTACTTGGATACGTAAAACTACGGGGTTTTGCGTATATGGAGTGTGACTGCAGCATAATAATAAGGTCACTTGTGAATTAGATTCAAGTCTTAATTGTAGTAAGGACAGCGTGCTGAAGCTAATTTGAGAAACATCCTCCGGTCGGTTGAACAGGCCTACGTAAAAGATTCAAGCTCTTCCAACCTATTAGTATATTTCTTAACATCAACAACTGTATATCCAGGTGATGTAATTTAGCAATTACTTTGCTTTTTTCAGCAATAAAGTTATCTTGGTTAGGTTGTAAGGCTTTGTTTATTTTTTCCGCTTATTCAGGAGTGGCTGGTATATAAGTATAACCCACGCATTCGTTGCCATAAAACTTGAGTTTCCTAATTTCCCGATAGGTATAGCAAATCGGTAGCCAGCAGGTTTACACAATCTTTCTATTTTGCGAGCAACATCTTTCATGACTTGTCATTTCATTCTTGTTGATTGAGTTTTCGTGCAGTGTTACATTGGCGTTTACTGTGTTGCCGTTAATGTTCGTTTATTTATTATTTTTCGTTCTTCTTGGTAAATTTCATAAGTAAAATTTTCTTATCTAGATATTCCTCGAGAATTTATAAGGGGGGCAATTTTCTTTTTTAGAATACTGTAATTCTTTGGTTCCATAATAGATTTGATATAAATTAGTTTCATATCAATATTTTTATACAGAGATAGCCCTATATTAAATGTGTTATTATTATGATTTAGTGTCAAGTAAGAGTTTTTTCAATTACGATTAATTAAAAAATGCAACTCAAAACCCGTGACAATATGACCACACACCAATCAGATATACCGTATGCAATAACAACTTTAAAACGAGCAGAAGTCGCAGAATTCACATGTTATAAGAAAGCCACGAACAGTTAATACTCTTAAACAATATTGAACCAATCTTATCCATTATTTCTTCATAAGATCATACCAATATTTATATTGAGCGTAGCGGCGTCGATGTTAAACGTGCACATTGCATTGCATTCATATACAGATCAATGATCAATACAGTGTACTGTTTATTGACCGTCTGATAGTTTTGGTTTGTTTTTTTATACTTGATATGAGAATTATTCATATCGAATATTCTCAGCTTTTCGATCATCAAATATCTAAAAAGTCAAAATTACACTCTAATGACGAATCCACCCGTCTCTACCCGGCGTCAGATAAATCCATTTTGAGAATACATCAAATATACATTACAATACAATAAAATTGTCCATCAGCCATTATATAACACCACAAATGGTAGCAAATATAATATTCAACCCTCCAATATTACATAATTGTACATTAATTACATAATCGCTCTCTTATTATAACTCGATGTTCTCTCGCAAAAAATTAATGAGAAGCGAACCGTTTGCTGGACGAGATAAGCTAATCGGACAGGAGAACTCGTATACCGTATTCTTTTAACAGTCCCATTAGTTCTCTATCTTGAAATAGGCATATCTGTTCCTGAGGGAAGAAAAAGAGAGAATAAATGCGTAAGTATTTGGAAAAGCATAAAAGGTCTTGGGAGAATCAATGTGCATAGTAGAGAATCTCTTCCTATTCGACGTAGACTAGCACAATAAGATTACCGATTCTTATTTGAAAATCTTTACTTTCGTCGTATTCTCTCTCGTTGATTTTACTGCTCTCTTAATCCTCACTCTGCTCCCCATTCTACCCATGCCCCCATCCCACTCTGACTTTATTCAAATCAATGCTCACCTCAGCTGTGAATCTTATAATTCTGTTTGCAGGCGCACCGTATTTTCCCAAATAAAATCTCAACAATGCAACATCCCCGTACCGAATATTTTGACTTATCAACATGCGATATGTCTTTTTCTGTCTCACATCAGCCAGGAACCAATCTGCTGTCCTTCCTCCCTCTTGTATGACTCTACTTCCATTATCGTGGTTGTCATTACCACCAGTTTCTGTGTTGCTAATGCCATTGTTAGTGACATCAATGTCATCACTACTACCGTTATGACTATTATTACTATTATTCTCATTCCCATTATCACTCATCTGCAACACACCACAAGCTGCGGCAAACTTGGCGTTCATACGAGCTGTGTATTTCTCCAGGAATTGCAATTTTGGATTTAGCATTGTATGATTGATTGCATTCGGTCCTGATGAATGTTTACAGAGAGTAAGTCCCTGCTGTTGTGTAGAATACAATCCATCGGTTGGAGTATCACTAACATCCACCCCAATACTTGCCATTGCCGCACTAGTAATCCCGAATGTCAAGTCTGCTCTGCATGCATAGGTGTCTCTACCGTCTCTTCCATTTCTTCTCGACGTCACTCCATCCTCATTACCCTCATCCATATACTCATCTTCTCTTCTATCATCTCTGAAACAAGGCGGGTCTAAATTAGGCTGTTTGTCAAGCGAATACAGCACACTCCAATACGTAGCCCAACGCGATTCTCTTTGTTTGTACATTGTCTGTTGTGGAAACCGACATGTCAAGAATGACCCCGAAGGTATAATAACACCATCCGAGGAATCAAGTAGAGAGTCCGTAAAGTCATAGAAAAATTCATCGAGAATTCGGTCCAATAATTTTGGGGCCCTGTATTGTAAATGTGCTGCATAAGCAAAGAGTACCAGGGATCCCGATCGTACTGATAAGCCATATACATTCTTTAGATATACAAGAAGATCTCGCTGAAAATGCCCAAGCATTAATTTGCATGTTCTTCCTAGTCTGGAGAAGTCAGCTAGAAGTAAATAATCAGCAATGCGCGATATTATTTCTGGAGGTAAACTGCTAAGACAGGCAGAGAAAGGGAGAAAAGGAAGAAGAGATGCCGAACGAGTAGAACGATGTTTGGAGCGAGTGCGGATCTGAGAAGATTGTGATATGGAAAAGCTAGAAGTCGAGGAAGAAGTCGAGATAGAGGTAGAGGTAGATATAGAGGAGGAGCTCTGTTGTATTTGTAGTGACAGTCGTTGTCGTAAATGCTGTCGAGAACGTAGCCGAGACCTTACTGAAGAGGAAGCGGTCATATTTTGTTTGCTAACTAAAGGCGTCGTAGTCGGAAAGCTGAGATCTCGTGTTGCTTGGGTTATTTTGGTGTGTGTGTGCGTGTGCTTGATATAAACTGCAAACAAGTTAGTTTTAGGGCGGGGAGGATAACTGTTTTGGCTTTGTTTGTTACTGTCAAAAATGTTACTTTATTCAGTAACGGCGCCAAGTGGTTTGTTTATCCAATAGGTGCTTATTATTATGGGGACATAATAATGTGTAATAAGGAGGTGTTCATTAGAATGTGTTACTCAGTTTGTTCCACATTGTAATTAAGAGCGATGATTATGACATCATCACCAGATTAATATTAATATTAATATGGCAACTATGAATATGGGCTGCTTATTGGTCATAAAGATTTGAAATTACTTGCTTCTAGTCTTGAGTCTTTCACCCTTCATTTGAACCCAACAATAATAAGGCTTTTTTTTAAAAATACTTTTATCTCAATATTTTGCGCGCTAACCAGTAGCCATTTTTAACTCATTCTGGATTAGTGCTTCTTGGTGAGCGCAAAACAAACAAACTTATCTAGCGTGTTTAACACGTCGGATCACGAAAAGAATCCTAAAAACTGAGGCATGAAGTGTTGGCGCGTTTGAACATGGGTGGTCGATGCACGTAGTGCCGTGGTTAACATGGCTGATTTTATAACGTCGGTCACATGCTTGATCTTTGCGCGCAATAGGAAGCGAGAGCGTGGTCGTAAGCTAAGTAGTGGTGACTTGATCCTTTATGTCACAACGAAAAAAAATAAATTATGCGTTTAATTATATATCCGGTCGTATATTACCAAATTGGAAAACTATTGAATACAACACAACAAGGTATACATCTAAAATCTTATTACTAAACCTACAATCGGTAGCAGCGAGGTTACGTCTTCTACTTATACGCTCATTTTCTTTTCGTATTACACCACACCATATACGTCCGCAAAATGGTTGCCGAACAGTTTGCTAATTTTATGAACGCGTTTACTGCTGCTATAAACGCATTGCCAGTTGCCGCTCCTCTCGCAGTACCCAAGATTACTATTAAGATTTCCTAGCATAAAGGAGAACCAAGAGAGAATGTTATTATCTGGAATCAACCATTCGAGGCGTTTTACCGTTTATTGTACCAGAAGTCTTTCATACTTGCAAATTTATTCAAAAATCAGACATATATTTCTTTGAATATGCGATATTATGGGTAGACTACGACAAAAATGCCTGATTCAGCACCAGAAGAATACAAGAAACTTGCTCGGCATTGTTCTGATACTAATGCCACCACAATTCGGAATAATTTAACAAGAGGCTGCATTGAGCACCACAGACCCAGGGAGGAATCTTACTAATTATAGACGTAGATGTTATTCGGAAATATTATTCGTTTGGTAAAGAATTTGAAAGTATATTCGAAACATTCAAGGGCACTTTTAGAGAGCATAAGGCTCAAAGAATGCTCATCAAAGAAGTAACAAAACAGCTTCCAAGTAGTCTCTCAAAGAATATTATTGAGAAAAGGGTTGTGATTTATTTAGTAATATCGGCACAATAAGATACAACGGATAAAGACATTTTCAGCATCGCAAATCTACGAGTTAAGTTGGGGTGATATCGACTGGCTCTTTCTCTTGGACTTTGGCTCGAAACACATAAAAAGGACCCGGTAAATTGTCCAGTTCTTGGCTGTTGACATTATCAGCTTCTTTACCGGTGCAACAGAAGAAAAAATTGTCATGCTGGAAGCCGGGGCTCAGGAAATAAAAGAGGAGCCTGTTTGAAAAATATGGCTCTTTTTTGTCGCCCCTCTTTGGTCTAAACCCGTGAGAGTAGCCAGTTTATCTGTCATTGTTATGAATACCTGGGCCGCCCCCAGCTAGGCGAAGAATCGCCGCGAGGATCCTGCCCCCGCTGCGGCGGGCTACCCCCCGCCTGTAAGGCTCTCCATAGATTTCATCTACGGGAGGATCCCCCCCAAAACCCCTACTTGGGCCCCCGGCGGGATCCAGTCCCGTTCCCCGCAACTGAAAGTTGCGGGCCGCGTCGCTGGCTACGGGCCCAGCCTCGCGACGCAAGTCGTCGGGGGTAACGGCTCTGTACGTGATTTCCTCTGACCCAAGGTCAGATTGAATGCAAAAAAGTTAATAACTCGTACGTGCTTATCAACAAAAATTAACAAGTTGCCCATATCGGGTTTATATTATTTATATTGCAAATAAAAGTATTCTTATTTTATTTAGCTTTATAGCTGGAACGTATAAATTTACGTTGTCTACCTCTATTGACAAACTAATTAAAAAAATTTTTTTTTCCATAAGCGTAAAAGCGGAGTTTTAATTCTTGTTTCTGTTTTCTTCTAGACGGGTTTGTAGCCCAGTATCGCTTAATTTATAGGGACAGTTTTCTAAGCTGTCGACGCGAGTTTCCAACATGCCCAATTTCTAGATTGAGTGAGACGTTTAAAATTAGGATTGTGTACTTATATTAGGGAATGATCAATCATTAAATAACTTTATAATCGTTTACGGTTTTGATCGGATTTATTTCCGTCCTGGCTTCTTTTCTGATTTCTTCTCTGAATTCTTCTCTGATTTCACTGATAAGCCAACTTAGTCCAACCGACCCCCATATGACACTATTGATAACGATAAGAGTTGGGTTCATATTGATGTTATAAGTTCTATTTCCTTTATTTGGTTAATTATATGTAGTAAAAGTTAGTACATTAACTATTGATAAATTTATCCATAATCATACTACTTACCGGTACCAGATGATATGTGTCGAAAAGCGTATCTTGGTATAGTGTATTTCGGTGTAGTGTATCTCGGTGTAGTGTATCTCAGTGTAGCGTATCTCGGCGTAGCGTATCTCGGCGTAGCGTATCTCGGCGTAGCGTATTTTTGTGCAAATATTTGTCTATACATTTTGACCAGAAAGTTTGTTGTTTAAGCTTTGGGGGTATATTGTATATATACCTTTCTGATGACAAATGAGTAATGGCGAAAAAAAGTTCGGAACGAGACGGACGGATATCACAACAATGTGTACAGATACTGATTATAGCTTACGTTTTCTATTATAAATTGACTATAACTACTTCGTGCGTGTAAATACGGTTTGCGGTGTGTAAATATAAATAGTCACATGGTATAGAAACATTTAGAAGAATTGTGGGTCGATTATTGTACCATATTAGGGTTAGGGTTAGAGATATATTTCGAATAGATTCATGCTTATCAAGATTTCGTAAAATCGGCTAAGCCACTCCTCTATTTAGCGGTAAGTGACCATAAAGCCTACAGCTAAACAGACTGTAAAACGGTCTGTCCGTATAATATGTAATCATATTTCATTATATAAATGACTCTCGTCCGCAATTGACTATGCCCTTTCAGGATAACAAGTGAATTAACTACCGTTTGATTAAGAGAAGATAATAATGTATTGTCGTATTTTCTATTCGTCGGACTGAAGCTAATGAAATTATAATGTTCGCATTATCAATAATTCCTTAATCAGATTCCTCACCGTTTAAAAGAGGGCAAGTTTTGATTGTCATGCAAACTTCCTTCAAAAATGAAAGAGTTTGCTGAAAGAAAGGACAAGGGTTTTGGCAATTGATTGCCTCAATAGATGTCATGGACGAACATTTCTTCGTCTAAGGTAGACGGATCCAAAAAAGGAGTGGGTCGATTTTGTTAATTCGCTATGTGTTTCTCAAACGATGAACGTATCCAAAGGTCGGGCCTGAATGTTTACAATCGCAAAAGAGATGCATGTAATATCATTCCTCAGCTTGGAGTAAATTTATTTAATATAATCATGCTAAAGTACAACAGACTGGAGTATTCATTCGTAAGTTGACATCTTGACCTCTTGAAAATAGTCGCATCCCATGTTCTTCGTTTACAAGAAAGCTTCCCCTGCCCGTCGCAAATAAGTGCGCTTGTCGGTTAATATTCTTCCCTACAAGCCAGCAACTAGACCAAAACCAAAACCAACGACCGCTCCAGCCGCGGACGATAATGCCGTCCCTGCTGCGCCAAGTCCTGCTGCGCCGACGCTCTGCAAAACTGCGCAAGCACTTCCTGCTGCCACATATCCTTCATAAGTACCCATAAAAGCTGCTGCCGTCGAAGCGGCCGTAATTCCCGCAGCTGTAAATCCAGTCATAGTTACGACAGCTGGGATAGCTACTGGTGCTGCAACTGCCCCAGCGGCGGCAAGTAGTCCGGTATAAAGGACTACGAATAACAATATGTATTAAAGATTTGCGCTCAAAGTCACATTCAATCTAACGCGATATAAAACTATACCAATAGTATTACTAACAATCATGATTTTATGATAGCCTTATGTGTTAGAGCGTTTGTTAAAATTGCTTGTAGCAAGCTAAAAAGTTGAAACGAAAGAAATACACATATCGCCTTATAAATGTTGTTTTCTTGCAGATCAAGGACTTTTTAGCTCAACAGTGATTCAGATACCATTACCGGAAATCTCTATGATAAAAAACATGCCAGATTACAGCATTATTACTACATATCAATTATGGTTAACGTTATACAACTTTCACATAGAACAAACGCTCTCGGAGGGCTGGTCAATTGTAGCCGAGCAAATGATATTCATATAAAATTATCCCGCGATACAGCAAACAA